TTGGTTGAAGCCCGAGGCAACAGATTTGCTGATGCCATAGCAAAAAGAGTAGCCACAGAGTCAGTGAGGCCACTACAAATGGTAGGTACTTCCTTGGTTCTCACCCTCCTGCCAGAACCAGACCTGCTGGAATAGCCCCCACACACCAGTTAGGAAGAAAATCGGGCCAGAGGGCAGGTTCACTAAGACAGAGGACTGGTGGGTTCTTCCAGGGGGCACCCATCCTACCAGAAACCCTGGAGCCATGTGCTGGCTTGCAGATTCATCAGCACACACCTGGGATCAAGCAGATTAAAGGGGTTAATCAGGGACAGGTTTTTCCTACTCCACCTAGGTGAAAGGCTTGAACGGATTCAGTGCTGCTGTACTATCTGCGCCCAGGTGAACCTGAGGAGAGGAAAACCAGCACTCATGGGTGTATGAGAAAGGGAACATTGTCCCTGTGAACACTGGGAACTAGACTTTACTGAAGTTATTCAGTTTGCCTACCGGTATTTGCTAGATTTTGTAGACTTTCAGGATGGGTAAAGTCAGAAACAGCTAAGCAGAATGGGTATCATTCTCCAATTTGGCCTTCCCTCCTCTTTGGCATCTGACAATGGTACAGCCTTTATGGCCAAAGTGTGTCAGCATGTGGCTGAAATTCTAGAACTACATTGGAAATTACACTGTATTTATAGGCTCCAAATCTCAGGACAGGTAGAATGAGCTAACATTATGTTCTTGGCAGAAACTGGCTAGTGGTAGACCAAATTACTCCCTACTGTTCTTTTTAAGATGAAATCCTCCCCATACCAAGACAAGCTGAAATCATTTAAAATAGTATTTGGCTAACTGCCTCCACTTCTTTCTGCCACGGAAAGGCCACGGGTTATTGAAATGTCTAATCATTCCTTCAAGACCTTACAATCACCGCACTAGACGACTAGAGGCATCCGGAGTCATCTATCACCCCTACCATCTGCTCCACCCTTGATTGAACCAGCACACAAGTTCCAACCCAGGGACTTGATGTGGGTCTGCCCCTTACTCAGCAAGACTCTGGAAGCTTTCCTGGAAGGAACTGTATGCCATGATTGTGACAACAGCAACAGGTGTCACAGTAGTGAGGACCACAGCCTAAATCCACCACTCCCATCTAAAGACAGACAACCAGCCAAGAGAAAGGTGAGAAATGAAGGGTAATACAAGATCCCCAGTGCAACTCCTCCACACCTCAAACTCAGACTGCTGCTAATACTGGGACTCTTGATAGGTGAGTCCATTGTGTGGCCAACTAAAAATGTTGACCTCTGGGATTGGGAATTTCTCAAACCACAGAGGGGACGATAATGGGCATTTTCCAGATCACTGCCTCCTGACTTGTGTTTACATTGAACCTGGGTGATTTCTTTGATAACAGTGAACTTATGGTGAAGTTACAGTCCAGTACATCTGGGCTTTGGAAGCAAAATGAGGGAAATCTTCTGATCCTCACCATTTTAAACATGCCCGGCAGACGGGCCTACCTACACATTGTCATAAATGGAACAAAGTTGATCATTGCTCCACCCCAGGTCTGTGAGACTTGGTCTGACCAGGGTGGACATAAAACCCGTATATCTCCATTCGACAGGTATATCCTGCCAGTGATTACAAACCTGGGAACCGCAATTACCTTCACTTTAAAGATTGTGGCCTGGAATGAATTGACCACCAATTGGCTTACAGACCAGACCTGGGGATTCATGATTAAGTTTATAAATTATGGAACTAGTCCTGGGCAGAATTTACTATACAGAAAAAGTTATCACCCTGTCAGGCAATCCTCTAGGCCCCATAAAAAGCTGACTACTTCAACCAAAGACTAGGGTGTTTCCTTTCCCTAGGCTCTCTCTGCAGACCACTTGTCCCATGGTAATAAATCAGCCCATAATCACAATCAAAGGGCCTATAGTAACAGACTCCACCTCAACACTGCTCCAGAACAGAGTTAAAATTTCACTCCCCAGTGATGCCCCTGAGCTTGAGACTTTAAGGTTATTATGTAATTGAATACATCGTTCACTCCTCAGCCTAGGAAGAGGTTACTAGCTTTGTCTAGGCCCAAGGTTTCCTTTTAATGTGGGCATAAGGACCAGTCCTCCCATTACACCAACTACTATCCCACCAGAAAATTTAAATTGTAACAGAGGAAACTAAGCTCGCCTTGGAAGATCCCCAAAGGAAAAGGTTCTTGTTGAACCTTCTCTTCAACTTATAATCACTCAGCTTCCCTTTATCCAACTTTGTAATGGTCACCTGTATACCAGCAATATCTGAACATATTAGTGTCTACTTCCTTACTCCGGTGGTGACATAGTAGGCCTGTACATTCAGCCTTGCCAGGTGTGTAACAGCTGAACATCTTGAATTAGGACCACAGAATAGTGCATTCTAACCACTATTCTCCCCCAAGTAGACAGTATGCTGGAGAGGAAGGTAGGAAACTTCCACCTGCATTTAGAGGACGCTCACTATGAGACCCAGCAGGGCCTTGTCAGGAAAAAGAATAGCAGTCTCAGCTGTAGTTATACCCCTCCTCTGACGTAGGAATCACAGGTGCAGGGGCCTTGGGACCATCAGTCTTCATTATCCAAGACCAGAACATTAAAACATTGATTACTAAAGATATATACAGAAACCAAGTAGATTTCCTAGCAGAATTGGTGTTACAAAACTGTCAAGGACTAGATTTGTTACTTATGAAGAAAGGAGTTTGTGCTGCCTTAGGTGGAAAGTGCTGTTTTTTTATGTCAATAACTCAGAGGTTATATGGGAAGCACTAGACAGGGTTCAGAAAAAGATCCAAGGGCAAAGGAGAGAACTGAGGCTTCTAACTGGTACCAGTCTGTTCTCTTGGTCCCAATGGCTCACAGCCCTCTCCCCTTTAACTGCTATAGCTAAGTCCATTCTTTTACTGCTCTTCAGCATTATGATTGATCCTTGCATTTTTAATTTTTTTCTTTTTTTGTTGTTTATTGTTTTTCAAGACAGGGTTTCTCTGTGTATCTTTGGAACCTATTCTGGGATTCACTGTAGACCAAGCTAGCTTTGAACTCAACAGAGGCCTGCCTGCCTCTGCCTCCCGAGTTCTGGGATTAAAGGCATGTGCCACCACTGCCCAGCTGGCCCTTGCATTTTATATTGGTTGCTAACATACATTAAAACATACAGCTCTGCTAAGACATTAGCCCTACAAGTGCAGCCGTATCCTGTACCTCGACATGAACCAATGATTTGATCCCTTATGATACAGAGCCAGTGGGGAATGGAATGGCTAAGAAAACTCTTAGGAGGGCACCTGGTTAAACCCTATCCTTACCCCTTCTGCATAGCATGCCTGCAGTTAGGCATTACTCGAAGCTGTGATGGCTGAGGAAACTTAGGAGGAACTGCTAGCAGGGCAGCTGGTACTGAATGGTTAAAAACCCCTCCGGCACAGCATGCCTTCCATTAGGCTTTAAAGCTGTGGTCCTGCTACCAGTTTTCAATAAATTCAGCTGATTACAATTTAAATTGAGTCTGTGGTCTTGAATTACATAACAAAACCAGTGGGGGCGGTGCTCTGCATCTGGGAGAGAGTGGACTTGAGTAGGTTGAGGGGAGAAAGGAGGGATTGGAGGAATAGGAGTGGTTCTTCTAGGGGCCTTTAGTGGCCTCATAGATTGAGCATCAAGGGAGATGTTGGGGCTCCAGATGCAGAAGTTAAAAGGTCCTAATAATGCTAGTCATTCACCTTTGGTTTGGGGAAAGATACAGTCAACGAGTTCCTTCTCCCTGGCTCCCTGGGTATAATTCTCTTTTGTGAGATTGAGAGGCCAGGTGGCTGACTGAGGATTGCTAAATCTGGGCCTTGTCTTAGGAGGCCCTGTGGTGCCTGTGCCACGAGCAGGTCTAATGTATTATTAGGTGAAAGCCTGGAGATTTAAATGAAAGACAAGACGGTAAGCCGTTTGTGCTAAGAGAATGTGTGTATGTCTTTTTTGCAAGGAGGGAGCAGCCTTATTTACAGACTTACAGCACAGTGGAGAAACCCCAGGTGTAAGACTCCATGTTTTCCTCGTACTAGATATTTATGCCAGTGGGGCAAGACTGGGGCTGTAAGCCAGGACTCAAGAACAGGATGCACCTGTGGTTATCAGCTGACAAGCAACTCACAATAAGGTCCTCTATTCCTAAACAGCCAGATTGTTGAGAAGGATTTATCAGTGTTGGGCATTGTCTGTGGGCACTGGTTGTATAACAGAAGATTGTCTATATATTGGGGAAGGAAACTAGGGAACAAATTTAGGTTGGTGAGATCCTGCCCAAAGTAATGAAAGCTGTCTCAAAATCCCTGGGACATAACTGTTGTTAGCAACATAAGTGCGACTTAGAATAATGTAGTGCCAGCAAGATAGGATCCTGCCAAGAGACAGAAGAGGCAGGGCAGATAGGACCTAGGCCCCTGGGCATGCTCTGATATGTTAATGAGCCAAGGCTTCTTATGTATAGCCTAGTCTGAGGTGAGCTTTTATATACTAATGAACTAACCCCAAGATGGTACTGATGTATTCATTGAACCAGCCCTAAACTGTTGAGTCCTTCCCTGTACAAAAGAAATGATAGGGGAAAATTGGGACTTTGGAAGTGACCCCTAGGATTGCATTGCCACGTTTCTGAGACATGACATCTTAAAGACCTTCTAGATTTCCACCAGTGCTGCCATCCTGGCCTCCCACAGCAGGACTTCATGAAGGATGTGGGTCCAGCTCCACAGCTTGTGAAGCATCCTAACCAGAGATTCCCCAGTGGAACTCTGCATCAAAAGATTTCTGCCCAACCAACTGTTCCTCACTTGATAAAATATCTGTTTAATTTTTATATTAGTTGGCATGGTACTACAAGGAATGATTATACGAGTAAACTGAGCACATTCAAAAGACAAATCTTGTGTGGATGGTTAATCCCATCGGGTGAGAATAAGACCACAACCATACTTTTGAGCCAGATTTGAAGCAAGCTTTAATTAAATACTGGCCATGATGATAGACTCTAGCCAGTCCACTCTGGGGTTCCCAGAAAGTGGCCATGGGTCATATTTCGCAGAGGCTTACAAAGGCAAACCTATAAGGCTACATATTTCCAGTCAGGAACAATCAGGGACAAGCATACATTACCTGCCTACATACCCCCTGCCTACATCCAATCAGAGGCAAGCACACATCTTGATATGTTTTCTGCCCACATACCTCCTGCTCACATGTGATCAAGCACATCTGGTGCAGTTGGGTCAAACAAAATTGTTTAGGGAAGCAAAAATATGGCTTGTTGTTTTACATGAACAGTAGCCACAAGCATTTCAGGAAGCATCTGTTCTTGGGCAGGTGGGGCTTACAGGTTAGATGCATTTTTGTTTTGTGGACTGTGGTGTCTTTGCCACGAACAAGTCTGAGCTGAAAATGAAAGACAAGATGTCCAACTATTTGTGCTAAGAGAATGAGTCTGCCACCTTTATTGCCAGGAGAATTCGTGTGTGTGTTTGTTGTAAGGAGAATGCCTGTGTTTGTCTCTGCGTGTGTCTGTGTGCGTGCGTGCCTGCGTGTGTGTGCATGTGTGTGTATTGTAAGGAGTGAGCAGCCTTATATACAGACTTACAGCACAGTGGGAAAACCCCAGGTGCTAAGAACTCGTGTTTTCCTCACGATGTTGATGTCAGGTGGGCAAGACTGGGGCTGTAAGCCAGGACTAGAGAACAGGATGCACCTGTGGCTATCAGCTGACAAACAATGCACAGAAATCCGTGGGGGCTGGGACCCAACATCTCCTCCTTCTTTATATATATAAATTAGCGCCTGTCTTAGGTGACTAGGACGTTGACAGCAACCTTTCCTGTCAATGGAGAAATCACCCAGGCTGCATGACCCTCCTGTCTTAGGTTGGCTGGCATCCCCTTAGTCTCACCCATCATTGGCTGCCTCATTTTTCTGTGGCTCAACCATAGTTGAGCTGAAGGATTCTCTGTGGCCCTCAAGTGTCAAAATGAGCCTGGGCTTGTCTAGTGCCGAGGTGCCTTCCAAATGAAATAAGTCCTATGGCTACAAGGCCCAAAAATAGGGACCCAGCCCATTCTTTGATTAAACAGCCTGCCATCTATAATTCCCCCAAGGAGGATCTCTCTAGAGAACGAAGGAGCCCAGGTCTCGTTTTAACACAAATGTGTGCCAGGGTAAGCAAACAGGTTTAAGGATGTTTGTTGATCAAGATTTAAATTTGCTAAGTTATTTAAGGAGCTCTGAGTGCTGAGAGCCTCTGTTACTTCCCCTGTTGGTTTATCCACTGTGCTGGCTGTAGTTACAGACTGTGAGATGGTAGTTCCAGATCAATAGCTGCAACTACCCCAGCAGTGATGCCAAAGTCTCTTTTCTGACACATTAGGGCAAGTTATGTTTCTCTGGAGAAATACACTGGCATAGGCGCGACTCTGGGCACCCAGACGATCAGGACAGAGGAAGCTTTCATCCAGTAGCTTGTAAGGTTGAGAAACTGGAACTCTGGAACCCGCTGTTTCCTTTCTTATTCGATGACATCAAGGGCCAGGAACACTGGTTCAGTTGTCTCACTGGAACTGGCTTGGGCAGCCTCTCACGGTTTTATGTCCGGTTCTTCTCTTCCCAAACAGTCCAGCAGCCATCTTGCTTTACTCTTTTCCTGAAAGAAAGCACAAACATTCCCTCCACAACAACCTGGGTCTTTTCCGCTGTCTAGTGTATGGATGTCTCTATCTGACCTGAGCAAAAGTTGCTCGAATTCCATAAAAAATTTTACATCACATGGAGACTGGGGACATTACTCCCCACCCTTTTTTTTCTTTTGATGTGTTTTGATCAATTTTCCATTGAGTATTTAGACCTGTTGTCTGTTTTTATCATTTTTGGAACTCCCATGTAAGCAAAACATTTTTTTAAACAATGACTTATCACATGTTTGGTGGCTTTTCTAGTTTGTGTAGTGGCCATCAAGAAACCTGAATACCTATCATCTGTCATGTGTATACATTTTAATTTGCCAAATTCTGTAATATGAATAACAACCATTTGCCATAAATGATTAGGAAGTAGGCTTCGAGGGTTCATTCTTAAATTAGTTACAGATAAATATTGCGGGCACACCTCATTGACAATATTGATGAGCAGTCTCTATAGTTAAACCAAATTGCTTTATTTTGATGATGAAAGTTATGAGACTGCAGAGCTCTTTCTGCCTGAGATAAAGTGACCAATTTTGTTAATCTATCTGAGGCTTAATTTCTTTAGGCTATAACATATGTCCCATATAACTTTTGAAAATTACAGTTTGTGAGTACTCTTCTAATCCAATTTGTAAAGCTCTCGCTGACAATGCCTCATTTGTATCTTAGCTGATATGACCTAATTTGCATCTACACTGACTCCTTTGTAGGTGGGGTCTAACAGGGCAGCAGTTTCCCTGAGGCTTTTTCTCAAAAACTTTTTTCAAATCATGTATCAACTTCTATTCTCTAGATTTCTTTTTCTTTTTGGGGTTTTATTTTTTTTTGGTTTTTCGAGACAGAGTTTCTCTGTATTGTTTTGGAGGCTCTCCTGGAACTCGCTCTGTAGATCAGGATGGCCCCGAACTCACAGAGATCCGCCTGTCTCTGCCTCCCGAGTGCTGGGATTAAAAGTGTGTGCCACCAATGCCCAGCTTAGATTTCTTTTTCTAACCATAAAAATTTTAGAATTACTGTATCCTCTCCTCTGCTAAACTCTATAGAATCATCCATACAGATTCCCTTTACTCTTAGGCCATGCTGCAGGCTTCTGCTATTTTTCCACTGACTGGCTCTGAGGACTCAAATCGCCAACCTTTCCGGTTAAGGTTAAAAAAGTCCAGTGTGCCCCTCATCATCCCTCCATTTGAGAAGTTCTGAGCTACACGCAGGGGCTACAGCTGTACCCACTCCTTGTAATTCTGTAGATGCAGGGTAGAGAGGCTAGGCTTTTGGCCAAAAATTTTTAGAGATGACTCGCAAAATTGACCTTAAATTTGTAAACAATATTTTTGAAATGTGGGCATCGTTCTTTCCAAAACTGCTTCCTCCTGATTGTGGGTGCTGAAATACCATGGGGATCATGACAAAACACAGAAACCTGGCCAAGTCCTTGTTTTTGTAGTCTGCATCATCTCAGCTGTTTTAAGCAATTCAAAGGCAACATAACAGCACACAGTATCCAGACTCTTGTGTATTTTCCATTCCATATACTTTTGCCTCCTTATCTCTTTAACAATTCTACTACCGGTACCTTATTTCTGTAACTTTATTTCTTTAACAATTCTACTACCAGTACCATGTTTTTACTTTTATATGCCATTTACTTTTACCTTTTTTAACCTGGTACCCCTTTCCTTACTTGCTGGCCAGCCTCTAAGAGTGATCTCTCAGGTTCTCCTTTCTTTTCCGACTTCGAAAGCCTGGAGATTTAAATCAATCCACCCTCCAACCTAGGGCGATCCCTCAGGCACAAGCCTGGAGATTTCCTCAATCCACCCTCCAATTGAGGGTGATCTCTCAGGATCCCCTTTCTTTCTCAACCTTGGTGTTGAGCAAAAGCATGGATATTTAACCTGGTACCCGTAACTTGGTACCCTTTTCCAATACACCCTCATAACCTTACTTGCTGGTCAGCCTTCAAGGATGATCTCTCAGGTTCCCCTTTGTTTCCTGACCTCAGTGTTGGGCAAAAGCCTGGAGATTTAAATTGTACCCTTTTTCAGTTTTGCTGAGTCCTTTCCTCTCTTTCCCAAGTCCTTTCCTCTCTTTCCTGATCTCTAACTGGTACCCATTTTCAATTCCTGTTGACCTTCCGTGATGAGGCACCAGGTGTCTGGAGCTTGAGGCTACTCTGGCAGTGGCAGCAGCTGCAGCAGCAGACCAAGCTCCACCGCACATCCGCTCCCTTCTGACTCTTTGCCCTCAGCACATGCCTCCACTCCCCCCACACACACAATGGTTCAAGTCTCTGTGACTTTCTTTCCCAATCTCAGTGGAACCTCCACTTGTAGCATTCTCACCACAAACAAGTCCAAGATATAGGGAAATGAAAGACAAGATGTCCAACCACATGTGCTAAGACAATGAGTCTGCTGCCTTTATTGCCAGAAGAAAGTGTGTGTGTGTGTGTGTGTGTGTGTCTGTGTGTGTGTGTGTGTGCGACATAAGGAGTGAGCAGCCTTATATACAGACTTACAGCACAGTGGAAAAACCCAGGTGCTAAGAACTCGTGTTTTCCTCATGCTAGATGTTGATGTCAGATGGGCAAGACTGGGGTTGTAAGCCAGGACTAGAGAACAGGATGCACCTATGGTTATCAGCTGACAAGCAATGCACAGAAATCCGTGGGGGCTGGGACCCAACAGTGGGCCTCTTAAGCACAGTAATTAAAATATAAAACATAATTTTGACTCTCATAGGACATCCTGTTGAGCCAAGCTATCTGCAACTGCAGTGATCCAGATAAGTTACTGGGGGTGCATGGTATTTGGGTCTTCCTGGTGAAGGCAAAAAGGGTTTGGGAGGAGAAGGGGGATAGTAAAGAAGGCATCGCTAAGATTGAACATGGAGCTGGGCTGTGGTGGCGCACGCCTTTAATCCCAGCACTCGGGAGGCAGAGGCAGGCAGATCTCTGTGAGTTCAAGGCTAGGCTGGACCGATAGCCTCCAAAATAATACAGAGAAACCCTGTCTCATAAAAAACCAAAAAAAAAAAAAGATTGAACATGGAAAGAAGGCAGCCAAGGAGGGCATGGAAGATTGGTGCTTGCATAGGATAGTGGCTGTGGATAGCTTGGTTGATTTTCTGGTGGTCCTGGACCAGTTGATAAGTACCATTGGCTTTTTTATGCCTAGAATAGGATTGTTGTGAGGGGAGTTGATGGGAATTAAAAGAATTACTTGCAGTAGCTGTTCAATCAATGATGGGCTTGAGTCTGTGGCACATGGTGGGGGTGAGAGGATATAGGTCCTGGACCATGAAAATTATAAAGACAGGATTATGATGGGTAGCTATTGAAGGGTTTGAAGTGTCCCAGACTCAAGGGTTAGTTAAAGGCAAGAGGTTATTGGTAGAGTTTTAGGTTTGGGCAGCAGCACCGCCTAAGCCCAGGCTAAGGAGAAATATGGTGGAGTTTTTTTGGGGGGGGTATTGTGACTTCTTTTATTGCTTTATTAAAAAAATACAAGTTAGGAGTTAAATATTAGGGAAATAAATCTGAGAGATTAGTGGAGTGACAGAGAAATGGTCACCTATTCTCTTCGCCTTCCTCACTTGAAAAAGGACCATGCATCTCCATAGGCCCCTCCTCCTTGCTCCTGTGTGTCCTAGCTTTCTCTCAATTAGCCAGCTGGGGGTGGGGGGACTGAGAACTCAGGTCCTTTACTGAAACAAGGCAGTGGCTGAGGAATTTCAGCAGAAGTTGGGGGAGTACCAGTACAATCTGATGAACAGTCCATCTTCTAGTGACCCCATTGTCCACAGATTGGACAATTGGCAAAGTGTCGTTGGCTAGGGCATTCCTTAGCCTAGTGGCCAGTTTGATTACATCAAAAATGGGGATATGGTATGTGGCTCACCTCCTTGAAAAAGCAGGTAATGAGGTGGACTGGATGGGCTTGAATTTGTTAAGAGTTTCAGTCAGGAATTAGAAACTGGGATGATGTTCTTTCCTATTCCTTTCACGATCTCTTTCTTTCCTCTGCCTTCCATGTACACACACCCACACAGACATCCACCACACACCCAGGAAAGGATAGAGTGGAACATTGTTAGAACCAGAATTAGTGGACCTCTGCATCAAAACAGTATTTTCAGGGTATGCCTGGGCTCTTGCACACATGGACTCTCAGCTGCTCTGACTGCATACATGCAGAAGACTTGGGATCAAGCCAGCCAAAAGCCCAGCATGGATGGAAGAGGTGGTCATGAAGTCCCATCCCTAGCTGAGGAACTACTGGCAACTAATGGATGCAGGGAAGAATACATTTTCTTCAGAGATGTAGGTCCCAAAAAGCTACTCATATTCCAGTTAGATGGTTCTACACCATGCACATATAGGCAACACTACATGGATTCAGTGGATTTTTAAACAATAGTGAATGAAGTTTGGAGAAAAAGTAGTAGTGAAAGAGATATGGGAAGAATTGGAGGGAAAAGGATGGGGATGGATTTGATCTAATTACATTCATTTGAATGTGTAAAATTCTCTTATGATACAAAACATGTTTAAAGAAATAACCTTAGGCTGGTTGTTGTAGCTCAGCGGTAGAGGAGTTGCCTGGCAAGCATGATATCCTACGATTCATCTCCGGTACCCCCCCCCCCAAAGTAGCCTTGCCTTACCTGGAGGAATAGCCTTCCCTTTAACTAACCTAGACATGAAATGTAAATAAAGTCCGGCTGTTGGGAGCACAACAGTACTTGTGCTCCAGATTGCTAGGGAAACCTGGAACGTTAATTGTACAGGGGTGTCTCTTCAAAGGAGGACATACCTGTTTTCTGCCCAGAAGGCTAGGAGTGGATATTGTTAATGACCCGATGGCGTTTTTGCTATCTGTAGAGGGAGCCCTCACCCAGAATGTTTATCCCAGACACTCCCTCCCTGGACCTTTATCTTCAGCTCCCACTCAATATAACCCATCCTTAGGGGAACTGTCATACACTATGTAGTCATAAACTATGTAGTCATACCTTAAGCTTTATTGTTGCACCTCGAATTGAAATTATTGTTGCCTGGAAACTTTTTCCAAATTGTGCTATGTTTAAGTATGTTGACAATAAACTGCCTGGTATCAGACACCTGAAGTTTGATCTAGCCTAAGTCAGGCTGAACCGAGTTTTCATTGTCACCTCTTTTCCAATTGTTTCTCTGCCTGCCAGGACACATGTAGGGACCCTCAGCCTGTGTTGAGTGAACCCTTTTCCTTGCCAGCCGCTTTGGTTTTTCCCCACCAGTCGCCTAGTCCCTACCACGTTGCAGTCCCCAAATGAACACACAGGACCCTGTATTAATTATGAAGCTGTTGGCTGTTTGCTTGTTTCTTACTGGCTATCTTTGACTTAAGTATTTAACCCATCTAAGTATTTATCTTACCAGAGAAAAGATCTGGACTTCTTACCCCTGTGGCAGCTACATCTTGACTCCCTGTGTTTCTCCTTCCCAGAGTACTCCTGGACTCCTAGTCCCACCTATCTTGCTTCCCTATTGGCCAACAGTGCTTTATTGACATATACACAGGACTTCCCTATCAAGCCTGCTTCTTCCACCTTCTCCCTTTTGTGGAATCTGTAACTCTCCTTTTCACATGGAATTGTAAAATCTAAGGAAGGGCAATTGTAATGTTTCCTCCTTTTGCTTTTCACTGTTTTTCACTTGTACAATTCATGGATCTGAAACTGATTTTTCAGGGGAGAAGAGAGAACAAGACTGCCCAATAAATTCAATGAGCAAAGAATGGTTTATTATAGTACACTGTGTTTGTCAGAACAGCTGCTGGGAACTTTACCATTGGAAGAAGCTTTGTGGAAGGGTACTGCAGTGCTAGGGATGCTGTGGCGATGCTGGATGTGATGTAACTGAAGCCCATGCCCTCACAGCCAGGCTCTCCTTGCAAAAAGTTGAATTAACTTCACTCACCAAGCCTTTATAGCTCTCTCATGAAAAACAGATCTTTGTGATGAATCGTACACATAGAACTATGTAGAAAGAAAGGAAATAAAGACATTAAGCTATGGAATGGAAGCTAAGCCCCAATGGAAATATTAGTCGTGCTTGAGGGAGCTGCCTAACTAGCCCAAGTAGCTATCCTACACTATGTAGAGAACACCCAAAGACTGACTCCTACTTGGGTGAAGAAATCAAAGAGCTGACAAGCCAAGAAACAGTCTTCCAGGGGTGAATACTTTATTCGGGTTTTGATACCGATACTAATACTAATATCAGGCTTTGGTGGCCACCTCCCGAGTCCTTGTGTCCAGGAATTGAACACTAATAGGAAAGCAAAGCAAGATAGTTCATTATGAAAATACAGACTTGCAAAGGAGGAAGGAGGAAAGCCCTCTGCATAGGGGTGACAGTTGTGTGGGTTGGTCTGTTTTGAGGGCCCTGAGCAATTGGATCAGGACCTAGCCCTGGTGCACGAGATGACTTTTTGGAACATCTTCCCCATGCTGGGGATTCCTCGCTCAGCCTTGATACAAGGGGAGGAGTTTGGTCCTGCCTCAACTTAATATGCCATGCTTTGTTGACTCCCATGGGAGGCCTTACCCCTTTCTGAAGGGAGGAGGAGGAGTGGAGATGGAGGTAGATAGGAGGTGAGGAGAGGAAATGGGAAGAGAGGAGAGAGGGGAAACCAGGGTTGGTATATAAGATAAATGACAAAACTAAATTTTAAGAAAGAAAATGTAGGCTTGCAAAGGAAGAAGTGGGGTAGAGCATGGAGAAAGTTTAACAGCTCAAAGGGCCCTGCTGTATAAAGAGCTAGGGATTTTATGTTGCCTTATTGGTGCCTCTCTGGCCTATTTACATAACGTGAGCTTTTCTGTACATGCTCTATTCTGTTACATGTAGTTCTGTGTTTTATGTATCACTAGCATCTTTTTGTTGTTTTGTTTTGTTTTTTTGAGACAGGGTCTCTTAACATAGCCCTGGCTGTCCTGAAACTCATTGTGCAGACCAGGCTGGCCTAGAACTCACAAAGATCTGCGTCTTGCATACTGGAATCAAAGGCATACACCACCACACTCAGCATTAGCATCTTAAATAGTCCCCCAAGGTATGTGTTTTGATATCACAGTAGGTATAGAAGTGCCTCTGTTCTTGTACCACTGGTGTGAGTTGGTTTTAATTGGCCTGGAAAGGGGGAATGTGTTAGTTATTGTTCTATTCCTGATGACCAAGGCAGCTTTTAAAGGAAGTGTTTAACTGGAGGCTTGCTTACAGTTTCAGAGGGTTAGTCTATGACCATCATGGTGAGGAATGTGGTGGCAGACAGGCTTGTGTCATGCTGAAGCAGTAGCTGAAAGCTTATATCTGATCTTCGAATGAATAACAGGCAAGACCACCCCCAGTGACACACCTTCTCCAACAAGGCCACATCTCCTAATTCAACCCAGACAGTTCAGGAAACCAAGCATTCAAATATATGAACATATGGCAGGCATTCTATTTAAATGACTACAGGGGGTTTATATGACCTTTCTCTTTGTCAACTTGTTTTTTCATATGCTAATTTTGGAAGGTTTGTACAAGGCCTTCTGGACCCCACTCTCTGCCCTATTCCCATTCCTTAATACTTGGCTCGGTTCAATCCTTCATAGTATAGAATGGGATGAGCAACAAACCTGAGAATGGACCATCTCTAAGCATGGATTTTTAACTCATTCTGAAAACTTAGTTTTAAAACAGTTCCGTGAAAGGAGTGTACTATGGAGTGGATACATTAAAAGACCTGATATGTCAGAGACTTCACTTCTCTCCCTTCATTGACTGCCTATAAACGCTTTGTTGATAAAAAGGGAGGTTTTGGGCCTCTAGGGCTTAAAGCCTAGGTTGTTTGGAGAGAGCTTATTTCTTTGGTTTTGTTCGAAGGGTACTTAGTCTTTTGGGTTTTTCTTTCTTTCTTTTTATTATTATTATTATCATCATCATCATCCATCATCACCATATCATTATTGATCTTTGGGAAACTGACAGGTTCTGTATGGGTACCCACAGAGGTGTGCATAAACAGAACTTCATCTCTGGTCTAAATAGCCATTTAGACCTGAAGTGGGTTATATTGTACTACCTTTGAGGCTCAGGTAGCTTTTCTGATTGTTTGGGGGAAATTAATTTTTGTATGATAAATTTCAAAGGGTTAAAATTACCAGGAAATTTGTATGTTTGTTTTTTGAAGCAAGTTTGGTTTGGTTTGGTTTTTGCCTTATTGTGTAACTATTTAAATTTCTAGGATGGGGACTGGAGAGATGGATCTGCTGTTAAGGTCACTTGGCTGCTCTTCCAAAGGAGGTGGGTTTGATTCTTTTTTTTTAAAGATTTTATTTATTTAGTATACAGTGTTCTGCCTGCACTCCATAAGAGGGCAGCAGATCTCATTACAGATCTGAGCCACTATGTGGTTGTGGAATTAAACTCAGGACCTCAGGAGGAGCCATCTCTCCAGCCCTGCAGATTTGATTCTTAATACCTACATGACAACTCACAGTGGTCTATAACTCCTTTTCTGGGGGACCCTATGCCCTTTTATGGCCTCCACAAATACCAGGCATACGAATGGTACACAAACATACTTCCAGGCAAAACATCTATCTATCCATGTAAAATACCTTTTTAAAATTTCTAAAATAGATGCTATCAGTTCCCTAAGCCTTATACAGGTAGATGATGACTAAGAAGGATCTGATACCTTGAAACATTATATAACCCATATTAGATTCTGGTGAAAGATGTGTATCTACCTGACTGTTCTTAATATTATCATATTAATTTATAAGTAAAATCATTTTTAGCAAAAAAGGGTAAATGGAATGAAATTTCTTGTTATTACAGGATAAAGATTCTAAGAAAGAGCTAAATTTCTGGTGTTTAAATTTTTGTGGTTGTTGCTTTTGTAATGCTCTAAGAACATGCCTACTTTGCATTGAACTCACAGCACCGTCTAATCCCATAGGGAAGGAGGAGGAGACTGGAGCTATGTCTCCTCTACCACAAGAAAGGGAAATAGGAAAATTCTACCACTCTTGCACCCTGACAGAATACTGTTTGGCTAGTGAGCATCCATCCCATTGGAGGGAAGGCTATCCTCAAGATATTACCTAGTTTGAGTGTGGTTAGCCTGATGTTACTAGGCTTTTAGTTCATTCTCAGCCTGAGAGGTGTTAAACAAAAGCTCTAATCCACCTTTGTGAAATCACCAACAGAAAAGGGCTGATTTGTCTTTATTTTGGCCACTCATTGCTCAGGTGGGCCATTTATGCTCTTTTAAAATTTCTACTTTCTTCAGAGATGAAAGCCTAGTGATTGGTAGACCTGTTGAAGCGGCATGGTACCTCCACCACACAAACCCTGATCTTACAGATGCTGTTACATCAGTAGAACCTACCTGAAACCCAAACACAATGTCTTCATAAGCAGTGCATCCTGTAACAAAAAGGGGAAGATGTAACTAAGCCAGGGGTCTAAAACAAAATGCATGCAGTACAATAAAATTACTCTGCATTTTTAGGAAGAACTTGTCAAATTTATTGACAATACATGAATGTTCAGAAATTCTGAAGGATATGAGAGTGGTTAACATTACTATTGTAAGACAGTGTTAGTCTGGCAGTGGTGGTGCACACCTTTAGTCCCAGCACTCAGGAGGCAGAGGCAGGTGGATCTCTCTGAGTTCAAGCCAGCCTGATCTACAGAGTGACTTCCAGGACAACTAGGGCTATTACACAGAGAAGCCCTGTCTTGAAAAAAAGACAGACTGTGCTGGTGTGGTAATTTGAATAAGAAATGTCCCCCATAGGCTCACATATGTGAGCACTTGGTCTCCATGTGTCAGCACTGTTTGGGAGCGTAATGGAACCTTTATAGGTGGGGTATGGCCTTGCTGGAGGAAAAATGGCACTCAGGGTGGGCTTAAAGGATTTATAGGCTTGCCCACTTCCATTTCATGCTCTGCTTTGTGTTTGTAGATGAAGATGTGATCTCTCAGTTTCCTGCTCCTGTCACCATGCCCGCTGCTTGCTATCATGCCTCCCTGCCATGGTGGACTCTTTTCCATCTGAACTTGTAAGCCACGATAAACTCTTTCTTCTATAAGTTGCCTTTGGCTATGGTATTTTATCACAGCAACAGAAAGTAACTGATACACCTGGATACTCATTTTAAAAAAACAGAGTTGGAAGTGGTCATAAGAAATGAATCACCTTATTATCTTTAAAGTATATAAGGTAAAAGAAGACAAAAAGATGAGAGAGATCACAGTTTTTATGGCTACAACCAGACAGAAAATAAGAGGTAGGCAAAGTGGGTTAGATAAACAAGAGAAGACAGAATCCCTATGGAGAGAACAGTATTGTATACTGCAAGGAAAGGACACACTGGCGGTAATATTCCTAAAATTAAAGAAAGGGACTAGAAAAGAAAGAGAAGGAAAAGCAAGACAGAAGATAATGGACATGAATGTCATCCAACAGTGAATGATAAAGCAGAGAGAACCCCCTTGATTATTCAGAGCCAGTTACAGTTTTGCCACCAGAGTCCCAGGTACAATTGACAATAAACTCTCAAGCCACGGAGTTCATCTTGGACATGGATGCTACATATCCTACTTCTAATGTCCCAGAGAAGCAAAACTTGAGAGCTCACGGTAGGGATAAGGAGGAGATGCAGTGGAAGCCCTTCCTACCACCGGTGGAGTGCAAACTGGGAGAGTTGAGATTCAAAGAGTAAGACTCCATGGACAGATGGCATCCAGGGTTAAGAAGTAAAATCAGCCTGGGAATCCAGCATGGGACTGATCAAGACCCCCTGAATGTGGGTGTCAGTGAGGAGGCCTAGGTAATCTATTGAGCCTTTGGTAATAGATCAGTATTTATCCCGGGTATACACATGGACTTTGGGCACCCATTCAACAATGAGCGACGCACTCTCACCCTTAACTCTTGGGGGAGGGTCTAGGCCCTGCCCTGTATGAAATGACAGACTATGGACACCCCCATGGAGGTCCTCACCCTCCCTGGGGAAATGAGGGGATAATGGGGGGGTTGGAGGGAGGGCACGGGAGGAGGGGAGGGAAAGGGAGAGGGACCTGGAACTGACTTGTGAAGCAACCTTGTTTCTCATCTAAATTTAAACTGAAAAATAAATTTAAAAAAATTAAATAAAATAATTATAAAAAGAAGTAAAATACCAAGATTAAATTGAAAAGAGAATCATTGTCCTAGGAGAAGTGACTCAGTGGTTAAGAGTAATTGTTGCTCTCCTTACAGATGAACTGGATCTGGTTCCCAGTACCCACATGGTAGTTCCCAACTACCTGTAATTCCAGAAGGTCCAACACTATTATCTGACCACCTTGGGTACCAGACACATACATGATGCACATCTGTACATGAAGGCAAACACTCATTAAAGATTACATTGTTAAAAAATACTCAAAAGGGAATCATATTTTGGATGAAACTGAAAGTCCACCCAAAAGAGAATTTGGAAGGAATTGAACTAGTGTAAAATTTCTTAAATGTGGTCTTTGATCCATTTGTACTTAAGTTTTGTGCATGGCGATAGATATGAATCTATCTGCAGTCTTCTACATGCCAATATCCAGTTATGCCAGCACCATTTGTTGAAGATGCTATCTTTTTTTCTATTGTATAATTTTAGCTTCTTTGTCGAAAATCAGCTATTCATAGGTTTGTGGATTAATCTCAGAGAGTTCAATTTGATTCCACTAATCTACCTGTCTATTTTTGTGCCAATGCCAAGCTGTTTTCAGGACTACAGCTCTATAATAGAGCTTCAAGTCCAGCCACACTGAACCTGTTAGAAGAGAAAGTGGGAGGTACCCTTGAACGAATTGGTACAGGAGACAGCTTCCTGAACATAACACCAGTAGCACAAACACTGAGATCAACAATTAATAAATGGGACCTCCTGAAACTAAGTAGCTTCTATAAGGCAAAGGACATAGTCAGCAAGACCAAAAGGCAACCCACAGATTGGGAAAAGATATTCACTAACCCCACATCTGACAGGGCTGATCTCCAAAATTTACAAAGAACTCAAGAAGCTATTCTCCAAAACACCAAAGGACCCAATTAAAAAGTAGGGGACTGAACTAAATAGAGATTTCTCAATAGAAGAGACTAAAATGGCTGAGAGACACTTGAGAAAGTGCTCAACTTCCTTAGCCATTAGGGAAATGCAAATCAAAACAACCCTGAGATGTCATCTTACTCCTGTCAGAATGTCTAAATTCAAAAACACCAATGACTCGTCCAGTGCTGGTGAGTGTGCAAACTTGTTCAGCCACTTTGGAAATCAGTATGGAGATTTCTCAGGAAAATGGGAATCAGTCTACCACACGACCCAGCAATTCCACTCTTAGGCATATACCCAAAAGATGCCCATTGATACAACAAGGATGTCTGTTCCACTATGTTCATAGCAGCATTATTTGTAATAGCTTAATCCTGGAAGCAACCTAGATGCCCCTCAACTGAAGAGTGGATAGAGAAAATGTGGTACATTTACACAATGGAGTACTACTCAGCAGAAAAAAACAATGGATTCTGAGTGAGGTAACCCAGTCATAAAAAGACAAACATGGTATGTACTCACTCATATATGGATTTTAGACATGGATCAGGGGAGAGTCAGCCTACAATCCCAGGGCCAGTGAGTCTGGGAAACAGGGAGGTTCCCAAGAGATATGCATTATTACCCCCCCAGAAGTGGAAAGAGGCAAGATCTCCTGAGCAGATTGAGAACATGGGGGGAGAAGAGAAGGAACCAGGAAAAAGAGAGGGAGATAAGAGGAGGGTAGAAGAAGACATGGGGGAGCAGGAAGGCTAAGTTGGGGTAAGAATAGAGGAGACCAGGATGAGAGAGATCATAGTAGTTGGAGTCATTATAGCTTTAAGGAGAGAGCTGACACTAGTGAGATTCCCAGGGATCTACAAGGATATCACTAACTGGAAAACTAAGTAATAGAGGAGAGACTACATTAATAGCCCCTACCTGATGATAAGGTTGGGGACTACCTTATGTGACATCCTAGAACCTTCATCCTGTGACTGATGGAAGCAGAGACAGATACTCACAACTAAACACTGAACTGACCCCCTGGAACCGAGTAACAGAGATGGAGGAGTGGTGAGCAAGGCAGTCAAGACCGTGCTGGTGAAACCCACAAACACAGCTGACTGGACAAGGGGGAGCTCTTAAACCCCAGACTGATGACTAAGAGGCCAACAGGGAACTGATCCAGACTCCATGAATGTAGTGAGGAGGCCTCAGAAATCTCTGGGGCTTTGGGTAGTAGACTAGTGTTCACCATGGCATACAAATGATCTTTGGGAGCCCATTCCACATGGAGGGATGCTCTCTCAGCCTGGACACATGGGGAGGGGCCTAGGTCCTGCCCTGGATGAAATGACAGACTCTGGATATCCCCCCAAGGAGGGCCTTACCCTCCCTGGGGAATGATGTGGGGATTTGGCTGGGGGTGTGGGGTAAGGGTGGGGCTGCTGGAGGGAGAAGGGGGAGCCGGGATAGACATTTGAAGCATGAATATTTCTAATTTAAATAAAATACATGCATAAAATAAAAAAATCTTAAATGTGGACTCATCTGTCTTTGGATCATCCTGCGTTGCTGGGAGTCTAACTCCAAATGGATCAGATGACCTGGGATGGTTGTGTGAAGTCAGCGCAGCAAAGAAACTATAATCACCTGTTTCAAACAAGTGGCCCAGGATAGCCTGTGCTGTTTTTATTTATACAGTTTCAATAGTTTGCATGAACAGTTTTACAATCAAGTTTGTTTCCTCTTGTATCTGATAATGGTTCCATTAATTGCCAGTTTGGTCCTTTACCTCATTCCCTTTCTGTCCCCCAACTTTCCCAAAGGTAACCATTACCTACCTGATTCATAGCTCTAGTGTTAAAATCATAAGCAGTATTGCAAGAAACAAAGGAAGTTTTCTCACTAGGCACACCTACAGGTAGGACAGTATGCCTAGTTGGTAGCGTTTGCAGTTAAAGCATCATGCAAAGTAAAAGAAAGCTTTGCCTCTAATGGTTAATACCTTTGGTGAAATCTGAGTTCTCATAATCAACTCATCAGCCAAGGTGGAATCAATTCATTCTTCATTATATATTACCCTATCTCCTATAAAGAATATACCAGGTTTTCCCCAATTATCCTGTAAAATATGTAACTAAAAACTTAATACTTGGCAATGTTTATTCCTTGTTCTCATGTCTCCCTCCTATCAGCTTCCTATAGTATTGACACAGTTATGCAAATTTGTAATATTGTCATAAGCTTCTGTGACTCTTTCAGGCTAGTCACGAGGAGTGTTGGAAAGGCAACATCCTGTTCTTGAGAAGCCTTAATTCATGGTCACATCTGAAACATGCAAAGGTTTTAGGTCCTGAATCAGGTTCACTGTTTATTTTAACAGCATCCTCCATGGCTCACCCAGAAGAGAGTCATCAGGGGGAAGTTTTCCTTAAGTAGTAACTATTTAATCCATAGCTCTGAGAAAGTAAAACTAGAAGCAGTCAGTAATATGGTTTGTGTAAAGAAAGCAAGGAGAGCAGGTAGCAAATATACCCTTGGGGTCATGCCCAGAATTATGCAGTGAACTATCTACCCATCAGCCTTGACAAAAATGGGTCTGATTCTCCAGGGCCATTCACAAGGAGAATTTGTTCATGCTATTCTCAGACCTTGTCCCCTGAAGAAGTCACATGGCTCTTGGCACTGCAGCACACTCAGTTCTATCAGTTTAAAACTGAGTGGACATAGATGTTTTGAAGGTTTGAAAGCTCCTAATGGCAGTGCATAGGATATTCATCCCTTACACTTTGAACTGTCTTACATTAGGATTGTCGGTAATTTTCTAGTTTTCAATCTTCAATATGGTTGCTTTTGCCTTCTTAATAACAAGCCTCAGATGCCGCTTGCTTTTCACTGGCAAGATCCCAAACAAGAAATAGTATGTGCTGGTGAGTTATTTGTCAACTTGATAGAAACTAGAGTCATCTGAGAAGACAGAACTTCAGTTGAAAAATTGCTTCATCAGATTGGTCTGTGGGTATGTCTGTGGGGCATTTTCCTGTTTGATGGTTGATGTGGAAGTGTCCAGGCCACTGTGGGGGTTGCAACCCCAAGACAGTTGGACTTGAGTTGTATAAGAAAGAAAGCTGAGCAGCCTATGGAGAGCAAGCCAGTAAGCTGTGTTCTTCTGTGGTCTCTGCCTCAGTTCCTGCCAGCAGGTTCCTGCATGAATTCCTGCACCGACTTCTTTAAATGATGGACTATGAGGTACAAGGGTAAGCCAGATAAACCTCAAGTTACTTTTGGTCAGTCTTTTATCACAGCAAAAGGAATCAGACTAATCCAGCATATTAAAATATATTGTTTGCTTTGGGCCTTCAAAAATTCTCCCACTGTCTTAAGTAAGATGTTACCCAAAGACTTAAGAGCTCTGACACTTAGCTGGGTGATGGTGGCACACCCCTTTAGTCTAACATTCAGGAGATCAAGGAGGGTGGATCTCTGAGTTCGAGCCCAGCCTATTTGACATAGTGAGTTCCAGGACAGCCAGAGCACCACAGAGAAACCTTGTCTTACAGAAAATAAAGAGTTCTGTAACTGGAAGGAGTATTGCTGCAGTGTTTAAAAATTAGTATATTTAACACCAGCTCATTGCTAAATCACCTGGCATGTGGTACATACAAAGTGTCATCCCACACAGAGTTGGTATTTGTAAACAGAGCTGATTACCTCAGCTGTCAAATTAAGAATGGAGCTTAATTTCCAATCAGAAACAATTGATGACAGTAAAAGTTCTAATAGTAGGAGGCATCTGTGAGTTTTTAGGCATGGTTCGGTTCTGCCAAACTTGGGTTCCTAAATTTGGAATAATAGTAAAACCTCTGCAAAGCCCTGAAAATGCTAGATCCACAGTCTGTATTGAGATTCTAGAATGCCAGTGGGCATTTGAGAGTACTAAAGAGACACCACCAGCCATGGGATTATCTAACCCTTAAGAGCCCTTCAGGCATCTATGAGCAGCAAGGCATAGATTTTGAGGTATTGATTCAGATTCAGGCCGTTGCAACCACTTGTGCTAGCTAACAAGAGGGGGAGAAGTTGAGATTTGGGCAGCATCTATTATGATGTTTGTACTTCTTCAAGTATTGACATTATTAGAACAGAAAAGAGGATCCTGGCTGACAGTGGGATGGTACTCTGAATCTGGGTCCCTTACTCCCAGTATTGGAAGTTGATCTTAATTTGGAACATGATTAGAAATTCTCCATGTAGTTTGTTCTAGATGATCAGATTTGTTGGCTCTGGTGCTGATGGCTTGTTACTGGGAACTTCTTTCTGGGAGCAACTTTATGGAAGAAGATGCTATTGAGCTGGGTATACTGTTAACTCTGGATAAGATAACAAGCTCATGCCCTCCTAAGAGACCGACACCTCTGAACAAAGGCTGAATTATATGTAGTTACTAGGGTTTTATAACTGTTGCAAAGAAAACAAATATGTACTGTTCCAGAATACACATTAGTGACAGATCAGTGACATACAGACTTTTGGAAAGAGATACAGGAAAGAAAAATGTCAATCATCTGATGGAAATACTTGTCCTACTTATACCTTAGCAGCCAAGTAGCTACTATGAACTGTCCAGGGCACCAAAAGATGTTGACTCCCACAGACTGAAGGACATTGAAGAACATACAGAGCCACAAAACAATCTCCAAGAAAGTCACTTACTGGGTGGGGTTTAGATACTTGCCCAAGTTTACACCTCATCTCTCAGAGCATGGTGACAAATGAGCCAGAGCATGGGACTTCATCATTATGGAACCTTAAAGAGCACAGGATGGTTTTACTCTTTGACACCCTGGTACATCCATTTTAAGACATTCATGAGCCCAGCAGTGGTGATACACACTTTTAATCCCAGCATTCGGGAGGTAGAGGCAGACAGATCTCTGAGTTCAAGTCCAGCCTGGTCTACAGAGTGAGTTCTAGGACAGCCAGGGCTACACAGAGAAACTCTGTCTTGAAAAAAAAAAGACACTCGTTATTTTGCTGCAATGACTGGTAATGAAACATGAACCTCGAATCAACAGACCCAGGTGAATTTTATTAAAGGGAGAAAGGGGGGGCTAGTAGCTAGCCAACCAAAGAAAGAGAGGGGGCATAATGGCGCAGAGCTTGAAAGGAGGAACTCACACATGTGCACTGAGCCCCGTAATGAGTGACGCTGTGATGACGTGCTGCAACCCTGTGCCTGCCCTGCCCATTGTCAAGGGGTGGGGTTAGTATGATGCCAGAAGTTCCAACTATCTCACCTCTTATTATTATTAAAACGGTGGGTTGTTAGATGTGACAAGTTTGGGAATAAAGGCGTCCAGTTCTCAACACTGCTTCCTGCTGACTTGGGAGGGGGGTGTTGACCATCTTTAGGCGACCTGAGGAAGATGGGGTTTTGCCATGTCCTGGGGTACCTGGTTGCTCCATCACAGTCCTGGCTGTTTGGAACTCTGGCATCTCTATAGATCTGGCAAAATGCAAGCAGAGTAGAGGACAAAGTTAGGTTTAAATTTTTTTCTTTAGGTACTGGTACTTGGGGGAAGATTGTAAGATGAGGGAGGGGTTCCCCAGGGGATCCTAAGTGGGAAGGGAATCCGAGACCTGGCGGAGAGGTTGAATAATATTCATTTGGAGTGAATCTGACCTGTTTGGATAGGTCCAATTCAACTCCCTGGAACTTATAAGAAACCTTTGAGTTTGTGAAAACATAAGTATTAGACACATTAGCAACATATTTATGGTAAAGACGACTTGGTTGATAGCATTAGCATTTTTAAAGCTGACAGATATTTTTAGCACAATAAAAAGCACCACAATTTTGAGCTTATAGTTTTGATTGCATGGTGGCATTGTGTGGTGTTTAGTACCCTGTTAGAATTGGATTAATAGCTTATTAGCTGATTGTTTTATTGTCATCTAGGCTGTATGGAATTTTTCTGGTTACCTTTACTCAGGAGGCACAAATGTTTGGTGGTCTTTGTGTCTCTAGATCCGTGGCTTCCGGCTGGCATTCTTGTAATAACAGCTAATCGATTGGATTAGAAGTTTTAAATGAGTTACATAGGAGATTGATGAGCAGGGTGTCATTAGAAACAGGAGAGTTTAGATCAGCCTGAGGACAGGAAAGAAAGCATATGGGGTTCCTAGTCCGGCAGAGTGTGGTTGTAGGAGTGGAGCCTTATTCTTCTGAAACAGGAGGCAAAGTAGTTGATCCCAGTGTCCTCCAAAGCTTAAGGGAACGAGGTCCTGTTACAGTAGCTGTATGCAAGGGGTGAGTCTCAGGTGAAGAAGTAAAGGGTTTGAGGCGGGATAAGTGAATCCAGTGGGGAAGGACCTCAAGCTTAGCAGCTGTTGGAGTGACAAGAATCAGCCTCAAGGGGCCCTGCCATTTAGGAGATAGGGGAGAGGGGTGTTGGACTGGAAGAAAGAGAAGGACCTAATCCCCGATATTAATTGGGGATGTACAGGGTTGAGATAGGGAGTAGTCACTAAAGTCCCATGGGAGGGCATGGAGATGATGGAGTAAGGGTGATCAGGGAGAGGTGAGAGGCCAGATGTTAGAGCTGACCGCCTATACATGAGCTCAAAGGGTGAGATGAAAAGGGGTCGTCTGAGGAGAGCCCTAAGCCTGAAAAGAGCCAGAGGTAAGAGCTTTACCCAGTCAAGGTGAAGTTCCTGTGTCATTTTAAGAACATTTTGTAAAGAACAGTAGTTCGCTCTACCTTCCCTGAGGACTGGGGGTGATATGGAATATGAAAATGCCAAGGAATGTTGAGAGCTTTAGATAGGGTTTGGGAGACCATTGTCTGACTGAAGAGAGGCTGGAATCCCAAACCGGGGAATAATTACCCTGAGAAGTATGTCAGAGACTGTCTGGGCCTTTTTGTTAGTGGTTGGGAATGCTTCTACCCATCCCAAGAAGGTATCAAGTAGTACCAGGAGATATTTAACTTGCCTGACTGTGGGCATGTGGGTAAAGTCAATTGCCAGTCAGTCCCTGGGGAGAACCCCTGGTCTGGTGGGTGGGAAAAGGGACTATGATACCTGGAGTTAGGATCTGGACATCTAACAGGTTTTAACAAGAGGCAGTGATAGTTTTTAAGAAATGTAAGTCCTCAGAAGTGGGTTGGAGGTGAGCCTTGACAAACTGAGAGGGAACTTACTGTTAGGGCAGAAGAGCTGGTGTAGACAGGACAGAATTTGTAGAGTGTCAGGAGGTGACTGAGGATGTGGGTTGTAGTGTATGAACTCCCTGTGGTGGGTGAGGTAGATCTGGGTCTCAAAAGGCTGCAGTCCTAGCTGCTTCATCAGCCCGGTTGTTGCCCCTAGAGATAATGGAGTTGGCAGTCTGATGAGACCAGCAGTGAATAATCCCTATAGCTTTGGGGAGGTGGGAGGCCTTTAGCATGGCCATAATATAACCTGAGTTAGTTATGGCTCCTCCTTTAGTGGTAAGCAGTCCACGCTCTTTCCAGATAGCAGCATGTGACAGGAGGATATGAAAAGCATACTTGGAGTCTGTATAAACATTTGGGAATGTCCCTGTGCTAATTGGAAGGCACGGGTGAGGGCTGTTAATTCAGCCTGCTGTGTGCGGGGAGTGCCCTTGCCTCCACCACCCTGGTATCTGACACTGTGCCATAGCCTGCTCTATGGGTCCCCCCATGTAACAAGGAGCTGCCATCTGTGTACCACACATAGGTGACCTGAGGTAGTGTGCCCTCCTGTATGTGTGAAGGATGGGGCAGTAGTTCCTCTAAGGTTTCGATGCAGGAATTAGATGGAGAATAGTTAGTATTAGGCTGAGGTAGAAGATTTGAGATATTGAGGGGCGGGCAGGATTGGAAAGTAAGTATGGCATCTTCTCCAGCACCACTTGGAGAGAAAGAACTCGGGAAGGAGGTAGAGTTTGTAAACCTCTGTAAGTTAGGAGATGAGACAGGTTGTGGTGGGAGAAGACAGTGATGGGTGGCCCAAAGGTTAGTTTCTTTGACTCACGAATGAGGAGCTCAGCAGCTGCTAAAGCGCGTGTGCAGGGTGCCCACCCTTGGGGAGTTAGGTCTAGTTTCATCAACAGGTATGCTATAGGAGCAAAGGAAGGTCCCAACTGGTGACCTAGAACTCCAAGGGCACATCCCTCCTTTTCTGTTACATAGAGAGAGAAAGGACAAGTTAGTGACCTAGAACTCCAAGGGCGTGTCCCTCCTTTTCTGTTACATAGAGAGAGAAAGGATGAGTTAGGTCTGGAAGATGAAGGGCTGGGGCCTGGCGAAGAGCCTGTTTGAGTTTATTAAAGGGCTTAGTAACGGGGTTAAGGAGAGGTTGATATGGAGAGCCAAAAGCTGCCTCATATAGGGGACAAGCAAGCAGAGAGTAGGAGGGGATCCAGGAGCGTAGGAAGCCAGCTATTTCTAGAAATGACAAGGTCTCCTCTTTAGTAGAAGGAAATGCAAGAGACTGGATTATTCTTCCTGTCTAAGGTAATAGCTTTGTGAGTTCGGGTGATGGTTAGTCCCAAGTAGGTGGCTTGAAGAGTGAACAGTTGGACCTTAGAAGATGAGACCCTATAACCCCTGGACAGGAAATTTAGAAGAGTGGAGGTGTCAGTCTGGCTAAGTTCTAAGGACAGACTGCAAAGTAAAATATCTACCTGTTGTATGAGCTTAGATTTGGGGAGAGACAGAGAGAGCAGGTCAGAAGCCAGAGCCTGGCCAAATAACACTCATGAAAGGACAAATGGTAACCGGAGTAAAGTATAAGAGGAAATGTACATTTGAAAACTGGCAGATAGACTTCACTCAGATGCTTAAAACAACAGGGGATTTTAAAATTTTATTAGTATTTGTGGATACTTTTTCAAGCTGAATAAACACTTATCCTACTTACTGGCAAACATTGGGGTCTAATGGACACCTACTAGATTTCCTGAGTTTTGTGTCTTGGCACAGGAGTACACAGGAACATGTGGATAGTAGTAGCAGAGACCATTTGTTAAGAAATAGGGCCAGGGATGGAAGTATGCGTCTGTAATACTAGCATTCAAGAGGGTACAGCAGAAGGCTTGCCATGAGTTCAAGGCCAGGTTGAGCTACATAATGAATTCCAAGGCAACCAGAGATACATAGACCAGGGATAGGGGAGGGCTCAAGTTACAGGTTTTGCTGTGTAGCCCAGGCTGACCTTACTTAACCTGCCAGTCTTCCTGCCTAAGCCTCTCCAAGTGTTTACATGACAGATGTGGACCACCACTGCAAGAGTTTAGTGCTTCCCCTCCCCTTTTTGGTACTGCTATGCAAGTACTATACCTCTGACCTCTAGAGGTGTATCGCCAGTCTTTCTAGTCCTTTTTAATAGGTAGCTATCAGCCTGTGTATCTGGCCTAGCATTTCTATGACTACTAGGTAAACCTCTTGGAATGTGTGCTAAGCTCGACAAACCCATGGTTTCTACCAACCCGAAAGCTAAGAATGCAGTAAAGATAACACCTGGGTCCTGCTAGAGTGTCTCTCTGCCTAAAATGACTTCCAAATCCTGTGGAAGAGTAGTAGGTTTCAAACCAGGAAAACAGTTGGCTAGCCGAGGTGCCTATTTAACACATCAAAGCAGAACCTGCCTGCCTGTTCTCCCAGCCTCCCTCAGTCCCTACCTATTATAGGGTTTGACTGGTATACCCCCACTCCGTATCCTGAACTTCTCCAGTCAAGGGGCTGGGCTGCCCTTCCCCAGCTGCCCTTCACTTTATAATCCAGACCTTTTGGTTGTCTGGCCCTTTTGTCTGCCTTTACTCTCCTGGCCCTCCCTTCTCCCTTCCCTGTCTCCTCAAATGACCCTGCATAGTGTCCTGTTCACTCTGGATTCTCCCAGACATCTCTGCCTCTGACTGTGCTCGCCCTTTTATCCACAATGAACTTTTTCCTCCACCATACTTAGGAGCAGTCCTGTACTTCCTTTTTCTTTCTCTTATTCATTCAGAGAGCACTCACTAAAGTCGTGTACTTTTGCTCTATGAATATCAAAGCCCCTGTAACCTCCTCCATGAGAGGCCATGATATTCAGAAATAAATATGTTGTCCTGGGTGACTTGTGTTCATGTTACTAGGGAATGGAAACTTGCATTAAGCAGGGAATAAACTGTTTATTTTTGTCTAGACATGTCATGTGCTGAGCAGGGCACTTTGTGTTTCTTATTTCCATCTTTCCAAATCCTTATGCTCTGGCTAAATAATGAGAGAACATTGGACAGTATCAAACTGAAGAAACTTTCAGAAAATGTGTAGCTAGGGATTTGAGATAGCTTTGCAGCTAAGAGAACATACTGCTTTTTCAGAGGACCTGAGTTCAATTCCCCCTACTCATATCAGATGGCCCACAACCACCTCTAACTCCAGTTCCTGGGGGATCTGATACCTCTGGCTTCTGTGGGTATCTGCATGTTCCTCCCATGCACACACACAGATGCACA